GAAAAACCACAGAAATCGTCTATCTCAAAAACAAAAAGATTTGAGCAGTCATATTCAGAGGAGGCAAGATTCGCAACCCCTGAGAGTACTCTGACAGCCCTCAAATACTGGGTTGGGAGCCTCAAAATTTGAAAAATTGATTTTGCTTTTCTGAATTTTTTTCTTAAAAACACAAAAAAACGTCATATCTGGAAAACTTCAAAATTTGAGCAGTCGTCAGAATTGGACGCGAGATTCGCAACCCCTGAGAGTACTTTGACAGCCCCCAGCTTCAAAATTTGAAAAATTAATTTCGGTTTTCTGAAAAAACTTTTCAAAAATCACAAAAATGTCATATCTGGAAAGCTTCAAAATTTGAGCAGTCGTCAGAATTGGAAGCGAGATTCGCAACCCCTGAGAGTACTTTGACAGCTCCCAACTACTGGGTTGCGAGCTAAAAAAAATCACAAAAAACCTGATATCTCGAAAGCTATAAGGATTTTTGCTGTCATATGTGGAGGTAAGATTTGCAACCCTTGAGATTCTGAGCGTACTCTGACAGCCCCGACTACAAATATGGACATTTCAAGTTTTGAAGTAAAAATTGAATTTACGTTTCCTCGAAATTTTTTTGAAAAAATCACAAAAAACGTTTTATCTCGAAAACCACAAAGATTTGAGCATTCATGTTTAGAGTAAAAAATTGGAACTTTTCCCTGACACAGCCTCACGATAGAGATGGAAACTTCAATTTTTGTCAATCCGAAAACTATACGGATTTGAGCATTCATATTCAGAGGCAAGATTCGCCACCCCAGAGGTTACCCTCAGAGTTTCAAATTTAAGGATGGAGACCTTCAAAATAATTGAATGTTGTTGTATTTTAAGTATTTAGAAAGTTTTTGAAAAAATCATAAAAACGGTATATCGCGAAAACTACAAGGATTTGAGGAGTGAGATTTGTGGTCAATATTCGCAATCCCTGAGAGTACCCTGACAGCACCCAACTACAGGGTTGAGAATATCAAATTTTTTAAATTTTTCAAATTCAACTTTTCCAGACATTTCTGAAAAATCTCGGAAAATTGCCGTATCTCGTAAACTAAAAGATTTGGTTATTCATATATGGAGGCCGAATTCGCAAACCCTGGTGAATCCTTATAGCATCCGACCATTGGGTTGCTAATTTCAAAATTGATGAAATAATCCTTGACATCAAACTGGAAAACCGAAAAAAAATTCATAACAGTTGCAATGTACGATATACCTTAAACGTGAAAAAATTCTTTCGTTAAACATGCAAAAAAACACATTGAAAAAGCTTAAACATGGCGAGATAGAGAAGCCCGCATTTAAATTATAATCCAATTTCTCAAGTAGAAGTTGATCGTTTTTTGTGTCCTTAACACTTTTGCTGTTTGATAGTGTGGAATTTTCTTTTAAGAAAATGAATTGAACTTAACAAGAAATCAAAAATCAAACCACAAAAAGTCAAACATGAGCGTGAATAAAATTTTGACTTTTCCTGGAAAAAAAACGAATCACCACGAGACGACCTATATAAGGCGTTTTCACTATATTCATACTCTTACAAAGATCAATTTTAACATGTTCGATCAAACTAACTCAAACTTTGATTCGTTCGAAGTATCAGCAACATGAAGAACTCTTTTTTTGAGCAGACTGCACATGTTATTTAAATTGAGCCAAAGTGTTTTGTTTATTTTAGAACCTGATGATTTGATTGGTCAAAAATGCATCCAAAATAATTTTCTCAAATCTTTTATTGATGACCATGAATTTGATAGTTTTTTGTTTTATATACATAGCTTCAATAATAATCGACAAGGTTCAACGGATTCAAAATCAAAACTCAATCATAAGCTAAGTAAAGTTTCTAAGTTACTAACATTGGTAAGTTCATTCAGTTTTATGTCAGTGACGCTTTTTTGAGCCATTTCCACTTTCTTAATTGAAGAGCACAAACTTTGTAACTTTTAGCAAATGAATTTGAATTTCAAGACAGTTCAAAACGCAAAAAAAAAATGAACACGAACTTTGAAAGAATCTTTGCTGCGTCCTTGTTATTCGGGTTTGCGTTTTTCTTTTGCAGTGTTTTAATTCCATTTAAAAACGTGTAAGAATAATTAAACTTTCAAAACAAACAGAATTAAAGAAGTACAAATTTAAAACGAAATACCAAAAAAATACTCATAAAATGAAACCAATAAATCAATTTGTTTTGCTTTTTTCAGAAAAAAATAATTTCATAACCGCATGTAACTTAAAATTAGACGGTTTAAAAGGTACATGCATTTTAAAAGATAATTTACTGAATTTTCTAAACGACTTCTGGGTTTTAGAAAATTTTGTCACTGATATTTTGCTATTCTTACTTCAATAGATTTTGAGGGCTGCCAGCTTCCACAAAGTTTGAAAAAAAGAAATAAACTAAAAGAGTAAATGAACGAAAGAAAACAAAGAAAAAACAGGAAATTAATTGAACTTAAGAAACCAATATTCATATCGCTAATAATCAAAATCGGAGCGTGAACAAGTATGAATTTTTAAAAAAAAAAACATTTTTAAGACCTATATAAGTATCCTCAATATGTTCATTGACACTTCAGAATGGTTTTAATTATATTTGCTTCTGGTTTTCAACTTTGCTTGAGAAGCATTCAGGATGGCAACGTTTTGCGCTGCTTTCTTCCCTTTTATCACCAGGGAGCTTACTTGATCTACATTAAAAATATTTGAGAGCAAACTACAAACTTTAAGTCTTTAAGCTAAAAGCTGAACAATAGTCAACATACAATTGGAAGAGAGTTAATTAACGCAAGGAAACTGAAAAAAGTAATGTCTTGTAGAAGAAGAATTTAGAAGAATTAGAATTAGAAACCAACTAGCGTGTAACACACCTCCGGTGCTTCGAGTTTTTAACAGATTATAAAAAACCGCAGTTATTGGAAATAAGATCTGCACCCTTTGAGTGTACTCTGACAGCACCAATTGCAGGAATGGTAATTTCAAATTTTGTAAAACTTTTTTGTTCATGTTTTTTTAGTTAAATTTTGAAAAACGATAAAATTCTGTGAAGTTCTTTGAAACATTTCAAAATGACATCACAAAAACATCACATCTCGGAAACTAAAAGCAAGCGAGTACTCGCATTAGAAAGCAAAACTTGCAACTGCTGAGACTATTCTTGTAGTACCCAAATACAAATTTTGAGATACTTCAAACTTAAACTTTCTAAGAAAATATCTTGAAAAACCACAGAAATCGTCTATCTCAAAAACAAAAAGATTTGAGCAGTCATATTCAGAGGAGGCAAGATTCGCAACCCCTGAGAGTACTCTGACAGCCCTCAAATACTGGGTTGGGAGCCTCAAAATTTGAAAAATTGATTTTGCTTTTCTGAATTTTTTTCTTAAAAACACAAAAAAACGTCATATCTGGAAAACTTCAAAATTTGAGCAGTCGTCAGAATTGGACGCGAGATTCGCAACCCCTGAGAGTACTTTGACAGCCCCCAGCTTCAAAATTTGAAAAATTAATTTCGGTTTTCTGAAAAAACTTTTCAAAAATCACAAAAATGTCATATCTGGAAAGCTTCAAAATTTGAGCAGTCGTCAGAATTGGAAGCGAGATTCGCAACCCCTGAGAGTACTTTGACAGCTCCCAACTACTGGGTTGCGAGCTAAAAAAAATCACAAAAAACCTGATATCTCGAAAGCTATAAGGATTTTTGCTGTCATATGTGGAGGCAAGATTTGCAACCCTTGAGATTCTGAGCGTACTCTGACAGCCCCGACTACAAATATGGACATTTCAAGTTTTGAAGTAAAAATTGAATTTACGTTTCCTCGAAATTTTTTTGAAAAAATCACAAAAAACGTTTTATCTCGAAAACCACAAAGATTTGAGCATTCATGTTTAGAGTAAAAAAATTGGAACTTTTCCCTGACAGCCTCACGATAGAGATGGAAACTTCAATTTTTGTCAATCCGAAAACTGTACGGATTTGAGCATTCATATTCAGAGGCAAGATTCGCCACCCCAGAGGTTACCCTCAGAGTTTCAAATTTAAGGATGGAGACCTTCAAAATAATTGAATGTTGTTGTATTTTAAGTATTTAGAAAGTTTTTGAAAAAATCATAAAAACGGTATATCGCGAAAACTACAAGGATTTGAGGAGTGAGATTTGTGGTCAATATTCGCAATCCCTGAGAGTACCCTGACAGCACCCAACTACAGGGTTGAGAATATCAAATTTTTTAAATTTTTCAAATCTCGGAAAATTGCCGTATCTCGTAAACTAAAAGATTTGGTTATTCATATATGGAGGCCGAATTCGCAACGCCTGGTGAATCCTTATAGCATCCGACCATTGGGTTGCTAATTTCAAAATTGATGAAATAATCCTTGACATCAAACTGGAAAACCGAAAAAAAAATTCATAACAGTTGCAATGTACGATATACCTTAAACGTGAAAAAATTCTTTCGTTAAACATGCAAAAAAACACGTTGAAAAAGCTTAAACATGGCGAGATAGAGAAGCCCGCATTTAAATTATAATCCAATTTCTCAAGTAGAAGTTGATCGTTTTTTGTGTCCTTAACACTTTTGCTGTTTGATAGTGTGGAATTTTCTTTTAAGAAAATGAATTGAACTTAACAAGAAATCAAAAATCAAACCACAAAAAGTCAAACATGAGCGTGAATAAAATTTTGACTTTTCCTGGAAAAAAAACGAATCACCACGAGACGACCTATATAAGGCGTTTTCACTATATTCATACTCTTACAAAGATCAATTTTAACATGTTCGATCAAACTAACTCAAACTTTGATTCGTTCGAAGTATCAGCAACATGAAGAACTCTTTTTTTGAGCAGACTGCACATGTTATTTAAATTGAGCCAAAGTGTTTTGTTTATTTTAGAACCTGATGATTTGATTGGTCAAAAATGCATCCAAAATAATTTTCTCAAATCTTTTATTGATGACCATGAATTTGATAGTTTTTTGTTTTATATACATAGCTTCAATAATAATCGACAAGGTTCAACTGATTCAAAATCATAACTCAATCATAAGCTAAGTAAAGTTTCTAAGTTACTAACATTGGTAAGTTCATTCAGTTTTGAAGAGAGTTTACAAAATTCCATTCTTTGTTGCTTTATCATCTTCATCTTAGTTTTCTTCAATGGAATGAATTGCACTTCTAGATCTAGCACCGCTAATTTGGCTTCAAGATTTCTCTTTGACTAACACGCCAGTGAGTAGTGACTATGTGAAATTTACAAAGAGGAATCGTGTTCCTCGCTCGAAGCTCGATCAGCAGTCTGGTCTTCTGAAGCATCCAATCCTTCTCTATTGGCAATTCCAACCCCCTGAACAAATGTGCTCTCGTCTGGCTGTGTCTCTAAAAGCTGGCTACATTCGTCATCACTCGAGCTGATTGACTGATCTTGATGAACTTGATGGGAAATTAGAGCGTAGAAATATCCATTGCGGTTTTTTCTTAACTCTTCGGGAGGTCCTTCCTCCACAATGCGACCTGTGTCCATAACCTGCCAATGGTATTTCAAAAATATAAAGTCAAATCATGACCAAAAACTGTAATACTTACTATAAAAAAAATTTAAATCTCGCTTAAAAATTCTCTCAAATAACCAATGAAGCTACTTTTGCTACAATACAGAAAACCCTCTGTCAAATTTTTCAGCTTAAAATAATTCACTCACAATAAGAAATCTTTTGAAAGTTAAGCTAGAGATGTTTTAAATTCAATTTTGAGTTGACGCCATTTCGGATCATTGTTATAATGAACAAACCATTCTGTAATTATAGAATAATAAGGAATTATTTATATCTTACTCCTATTGCAAACCGCACGTTTTATCGGAGCAACTTGAACAGGTTTAACTTTAATTGATGTTCACCTCTTGCGATAAGGACAAAATAACTATGTTCAAATGTTGCTACTTACAATGACCCTGGTGCTGTCTAAAATGGTGTTGAGCCTGTGTGCAATGGTCAGAACAGTCGTATCGGCAAACACGTCTCGAAGAGTTTTCTGGATGAGCTCATCGGTTCTAAAAACAAAACCAATTCATCGCTGTTGACTGTTTATTTTCTTTAGGTTATTTGCTCCATCGGCGCAACAAATCGCCACCCTTCATGCAACTTTCTAATGTTAATGCAAAGTTAAAACTCTCTAAAATTACTGAATAAAGATTACGCCAGTGAATCTTAAAGGAAAACTGGGCGCTCAAAGTCATTTTTCTGCCAATTTAACTCTTAGATACTGCACATGCATTGTTGCTGGAACGTCACGAGGTGTCAAATAAAATTATATATCAAACTCAAAAATTGAAGCCTGGCTATTTAAAACTGCCACAACTACAGACTAAGTGAAAGTTCATCACTGAAACTAATATTCTGAGGACCACTAAACAATCACTAACGCATAGTCCACATTAGCAGTCGCTTCATCCACTAAAAGTATCTTTGTAGAACACAACAGAGCCCTCGCTAGACACATCAACTGTCGCTGACCCACGCTGAAGTTAGATCCCCCTTCTGCCACTGTTGTGTCCAGACCCGAGGGCAGGTTCCTCACTGATTCCAACAACTCCACTTTCTCCAGTGCCTCTTCTATTCTCTTTTCTGAGTATTCGCCAAAAGGGTCTAGATTCTCCCGCACTGAACGTGAGAACAGCACAGGGTCCTGAGGAATGATCGATATTGCTTTCCGGAGTCTCGCCAAACTTAACTTTGAACAATCTACTCCGTCAATGAGCACCTTGCCACTGTTGATCTCGAAGAGCCTCGTCAATAGCACCATCAAGGAGCTCTTACCAGCTCCTGTACGTCCGCAGACCCCAATCTTCTCCCCGTGTTCAATTGTCAGATTGAGTTCGGTTAGGGCTAAGTGTACATCACCGTCTTCTGTTTCGTAGGAAAGGGAAACGTCGATGAGTTGAATAGTCCCCTTTTCTGGCCAACCATCCGGCGGATCCAAGGGTTTATCTGCTTTCCCCTCTACAGGTAGATTAGTGTATTCCTTCATACGCTCGATTGATGTCATCTGAAATAAAAAACATAAATCCTTATGCGCTCATCGAACAATGAATGCTCATTTTATAATTCTAGTGACCCTATAAAAATTATCATAAATTTCATTAATTATCAAATTTTATGTTCCCGTAAGCACAACAAAATTACAATAATGGAACAAACATCGCCTCTAACTCAAATATCAAAATGAGGTCTTGAAACTACAACCAGAGAATTAAAGAAAACAGCTAACCAAATTATCTACTTCGCAAGATTGTCGCACCATGTACTGGGTCATTCCTAACATCGCAAACGTGTATGAAAGCATGAATCCAATATCCGAAGGACTTAGATTTGCCACGTCGTACAAAGAGAACAGCACTCCCACTACTAACACGATGGCTTGAAATAAAGCCATGATGAAGTCGACGAGGACTCCGAGCCACCTGCTGGCGGCGATGAAGAGGAACCAGAATCCAGTGTGGGCGTCCAGGTGACTGTCGAAGTTATCGGACATGTACTGGTCCTGCTTGTAGGCATGGATCGAACACAGACTGGACAAAGTGACCGATACGTGAGAAAAGACCGGACTTCTCGCTAAACAATCAGTACAACCGGTAAGTTGGACACTGTGATAGATCATTTTAACATCTTGAAGAGAAAAAAACTAGCATTTTCTCCTAATCGCAACATCATTTTCTAGTCAACAATGCTGAAGTAAATCCATGTTTATAATCGTTTTTTTTTCTGTTACACGACCCAAAACTGATCAGAATTTTTTAATAGAAAACTAATGTTTAAATTGTGGAGACAACTTATAATTGCGGTCTAGTACCGATTGCTTCTTTGCGCTTGATGGCCCTGGAACCCGGCAGGTAGAGCACCCTCAGCACAATGAAGACCACGATTAGAGGCACACTTAGAGCGAGCACGTAGATATTGGTCACTATCACTGCTACGTAGAAGCCTATTGTCATGTAGAACAACTGAAACAGGGCACACAGTTATTGGTACAATTCTTGGTGAAAAAAAAACATTCTGAATTATTATTTTGACTCAAATCTGAATCTTTGAACGACAATCAGATACCTAAAACATTTCTAAATAGCATTTTAGCAGCAATAAATAATGTTTTACAGGGCACACGCAAGATATACTTAGTTACCCTTGAAAAGTCGAAGAAGCAACGGTTGAGATCATTATCCGCGATCCCCACATCTTTAGAGAACTTGTTCAGTATCTGTCCTAAAATGCAAAAATTTTCACGCTGCATGGAACATTAAAATTTCAAATTTCCCATTCGATGACCTCAAGTTCGTGCAGTAATAATCTTGATACCAGTAAATCAAAACTATCGATCCAATTAGTTGTCCAATCAGTAGAAATGAACAAATTCGATTTCCTTGAGTATAAGACCATTATATTCAGCTACGGCGCCATCAAATGAACATTTAACAATTTAGCCGATCGTTTCTTTGGCTCACTTACTGCGGTTTACAAGTTCAACGCCTTTTTTATTACCCCTCGATTGTTTAAAGCCTGAGTGAATTTGACACATTTGCTTTAAGCGCGTACTTAGTTCTTTTCTTTACTAGTGTATATTCTTTCCTCCACATGGGGGCTAAATGGTTAACAAGATCTAGCCATACACTGACGAACCTGATGGATGCATGTCGAAGAATTTAGTCACGACATGCAGGAGTCGTTCGAACATAAGATTATGCAGTCGCTCAGACGCCTTCGCAACTATCACACTGAATGTTGCAGAAGCGACTCCATTGAACAGCACAAAGAGAGACACCAAAACCACATAGATCCGAACATATCCCAAGTCGTGGTACTTCAGACCGATTGATTCTATTTCAGTCCCGTTGTTGTATTTGGGCACACCCAGATCCTCCGAAAGAGCCTCAGAGACAGCTACTCGCTCATTGTTGTTCGACCTTCAAAGCAAAACATATAATCGGCCTTCTCGGAATACCCAGACATTTTCAAGCCAGAATTGCATTGAGAAATTGGAAAAAAGGAAGTAGGATATCTAAAACTGAAAAGGAACTCCCTCGTATCATGGCAAAGTACGGAGTGCTCCAAACTGACTTGAAAAATATTATAAAAAAATTTGTTTCCAAGCAAAAATTGCATTGAGAAGTTGGAAAAAAGGACGTTGGAAATCAAAAATTGAAAAGAAACTCCCTCGTATCATGGCAAAGTACGGAGTGCTCAAAACTGACTTGAAAAATATTATAAGAAAAAATTGTTTCCAACCTAATGTTACCATTATAACCACAAAGTTCTTATTTACTCGTTTACAAAAATTCAGATTGGGAGGACGACATTAGGCTCCAAAAGCCTGTAATAGTGCGCCTCAAGTCAGAAAACAGATAGACTGTTATGTACTTGCAAAAATTATCTGTTTTTATGCTTCTATAGTAAAGATAAAATTCGATATCTAGAAATCGAAAAAAAAAACACTTTTTTCATTTTAAAGTTAATGAACCCACCGTTACTTATATCAGTAGTAGATGTTGAGGCTGAAGTGGGGGGACCCTGAAGACCCACATGTATCAAGATAGGGAATAGAGCATCCGGTCTTCAAGCTATGTATTAAGATTGGGTATAGAGTCTACAATGTATTAAGATAGGGAATACCGATGGTAAGGTTTCTCTTACCATCACACTGAAACCTTACCATCGGTATTCCCTATCTTAATACATTGTAGACTCTATACCCAACCTTAATACATAGCTTGAAGACCGGATGCTCTATTCCCTATCTTAATACATGTGGGTCTTCAGGCCCCCCCCCCACTTCAGCCTCAACATCTACTACTTATATCTTCGTCTCTGTTATCCAGCCAATAACTTTCCAGGAAATTATGATTTAAATTGTTAACTAAGTCCTTCGTGGCTGTTCTGATGAAATTTATTCATTTTGGGAAGAAAGACATGACCATGTTGAACAATTTTCTGATTTTTATATTCAATGATATTTTATGAAGACAGTTTTCATTTCATGGTAATGTTTTTTATTTTGCTAAATTTAGCTTTTTCTGCAATCGAGCTATCTCATCATCTTTAAAAGAGCCCCTAAGTTCGTCTATTTCATATGCAAATAGTTCTGTTGGTAATAACTAAAAATGATACAGTACGAGAGGAAAACAACACGTCACCAGAAAAAATGCAAAATGCAGGATGCTCTTTAAAAACATAGCCAACAAATAGTTGGAAAAGAGCCAATGAACACAAGTATATATTAAAAAACTTCCTTTTTGAGACGAAAAAATATCCAGGTTTTGAATTTTAACACAGAGGCAGGCGAAGTTGCACTTCGCATACACAAGCAAAAAAAAAGACCGATAACGCTACTGGGAAAAACTGATTTAGTAAAACTTTCCGCCTACAAAATTTCTAAGTGACGCACGCCAATTATGAGCCTACATAATTGCTAAGTGACGCAAGCCAATTATGACGCATTAGCAGTAACATTCAATTAAAAAAAATTACTCAGACATGCCTCAATTTATAGAGCGGACGCATTTTAACTAGTATACGGAAAAAGTTAATTCTAAACATTCGTCCCTGCCCAGGTTCGAACCCTCTTATTTTGTTGCGGTTCTCCTTCCCTACCTCTACGCTACAGATCCATGATACCTTCAAGCTAAAGTGCTATGTGTAATATAATAGTCTGCGTTAATATCCTTAGCATTGGCTGAACTTAATAGCTGGTTATTACAACAATAATTGCGTCGCAACAATATTTGCGGTTTAGGTTGAAAAAAAAAGATACTTATACTATATCACAAGCTTTGCTTGAAACAGAGGCGAAGCAGCGCTTCGCAAACGCTTCGCAAACGCTTCGCAACCCTAGCAAATTTGAGTCTCACTCACTAACCATTCAGCCACGGATGCTTAAATTCCCCAAAAACTAGCCACCAATAACGCAGCAACATATGCTAATATATTGCCAATTCGATGGAGCAAAAGTAGACCAAATACAAAAAGATACAATTTTGCATGTAATAAATCGCAAATCATAAAGCCACATTATGTATGAATTATGCATTTCAAAAAATTGCGAGATATATCGAGTTAGAAAATTTTTGAAATCGAGATTTTATTATTGTTATGTTGTTTAGACAAATAGCTTTTTTCGGTTCCCTCAATGAATTAAAAATGCATCGACTGTGTAAACTTTTAACTACTCGAATGGCAAAGCACATGATATCAATAAGCTGTAAAGGTGCAACAAATAAGCTGTCATGCCGATTCTATGCAGCAAAACTATGACCGATAACGCTACTGGGAAAAACTGATTTAGTAAAACTTTCAGCCTAAGAAACTTCGTAAGTGAAGCACGCCAATTATGAGTCTACATAATTGCTAAGTGACGCAAACCAATTATGACGCTTTAGCAGTACCAGTCAATTTGAAAAAAAAAATTACCAACAGGCATGCCTCAATTTTTTAGAGCGGACGCATTTTAACTAGTTTACGAAAAAAATTCATTAAAAACATCCGTCCCTGCCAAGGTTCGAACACTCTTATTTTGTTCCGGTTCTCCTTCCCTACCTCTACGCTACAGATCCATGATACCTTCAAGCTAAAGTGCTATGTGTAAAATAATAGTCTGTGTTAATATCCTTAGCATTGGCTGAACTTAATAGCTGGTTATTACAACAATAATTGCGTCGCAACAATGTTTGCGGTTTAGGTTGAAAAAAAAAGATAGTTATACTATATCACAAGCTTTGCTTGTGTTAAACAGAGGCGAAGCAGCGCTTCGCAAACATTCGCGAGAACACGACCAAAAGCAGCTCTATCAAGTGACTAAAGAAAAAGTAGAAAAAAGCCTCGAATTCGCAAGAACTCGAGGCTTAGCAAAAACTCGAATTAGCAAAAATCTGCGACCTAGCAAATTTGAGTCTCACTCACTAACCCTTCAGCCACGGATGCTTAAATTCCCCAAAAACTAGCCACCAATAACGCAGCAACATATGCTAATATATTGCCAATTCGATGGAGCAAAAGTAGACCAAATACAAAAAGACACAATTTTGCATGTAATAAATCGCAAATCATAAAGCCACATCATGTATGAATTATGCATTTCAAAAAATTGCGAGATATATCGAGTTAGAAAATTTCTGAAATCGAGATTTTATTATTGTTATGTTGTTTAGACAAATAGCTTTTTTCGGTTCCCTCAATGAATTAAAAATGCATCGACTGTTGTAAACTTCAAATATTCGAAAGTCAAAGCACATGATATCAATAAACTGTAAAGGTGCAATAATTAAGCTGTCATGTCGATTCGATGCAGCAAATGCGATGCGGCAAATATTGTTGCTTTAAGTCGCAACAACATTTGCGATTTAAGTTGGAAAAAAACTTCGTACTTTTTGCTTTCTACAACAGTTTATGATTGACGTTTATTGATAAAGTTAATCCAAATTGAGAAAACTGTATCAATAGGTAAACTTTTTATTTTATTGCGAAATCTGAAAATTAGATTTCTTCGAAACTCAAAGTCGATCACATTTTCGTGACCTGTACACTTTTGCTGTTCGATAGTGGAGTTTGCCTTATTAAAACCTATCATAACCTATATAAGAGTATGAACTATGCTCATCGTCGTTTTAAGAAATGCCACTCAAGACGTATTGAGAAAACTTTTGAAAAACCTCAAATTGTGAAAAGACTTAAAATCCGAAAAATCAGTCTCTTCCTTGCTTTACTAAGAAGGACGTGCAGTTTGATGTTAAGCTTTAAAAAAATGGCAGAGCTAAATTAAGAAAATACCACCGGAATTTTAAAAAACATTACGTAAATGGAACGCCGAAATTCAAGTCGAAACACAATAAGCTGACAATTAACCAAAACTTTCTGTCAGCGCTAAGAGAAATTTCACATAGCAAAATCTTGCATATACAGCCTTAATAGCAAGAAAACATAAACCCCATACAGGTGGTAGAAAACGAAGGTCAATAGGTCAACTTAAATTTTTTTAAGTTTGGCCATTCTGCGAAAAATGTCATATACATTACAAAAGTCTATTACCCCGTTTCAATACCTTTCCGTATTACAACGGTAATAAGGACGCGAAAAAATTTTGCACAGCAACAGTTTTACATAGAGGCAAAGCTACATATTGCAAACACAAGCGGAAAAACGCCAAAAATTAGATTTAACAGGGACAAAATAAAGAACAAAAAAACTAATAAGTTTTTAAAATAAAAGCGCTCAACGGGAAATGAACCTGTCCTCAAACATTGAAGTTTTTCAGTTGAAAACCTGGCATAGTTGTGCCCATGAGGTTTAAAGAAATCGGTAAAGGCAATCTGCAAAACACAAATATTGCATGTAATAACCTGGAATGTTATAAGCTCAATGCAAGCACACTAAATTTGCAGTTGATAAATTGGAGATTACAGCCATACTGAGCATAAATTATGACATTTTTAAATTTCGCAAAAAATACTGGTTGGAAAATTAATGAAAAGTAGTTTTTGACATTGCACTGTTGAAGGAAACAAATAGCTTTCTTTCAAACAGCTTTCTATTAAAATAAAAAGTAGCCCTTGTAGTAACACACCACGTTTCGCTTATGTAAAAATATGATTGAAACTGAAAATGAACAACCAATGTGTAATATAGGCCTAGAGGCATTTCTCATATCGTGCCCACTTATTTCGTGCCTGGCAAAAAGTCGTTCACAACAATTTACACAGATGCGAAGCTTCCCAAGCAGGTCTATATCAAGTTAGCAAAAATATGTCTACGTCTGCGATTCGAACCTGCGACCTAGAGATTAAGAGTCTCACACACTAACCACTCAGCCACGGACACTTAATGGGTTCTAAACACTCGCCACAAAGAAAGCAGAAAACAGATGCTATGCTATTTCCAATGCTTCAGTGAAATTTCCAAATAAGTGTCCCTTTTTAATGAACACTTTTATTTGCGAGTTAGGTTAGAAACAAAGAAAGTTAGTAATAATACACTAAGCTGGTGGCTAGTGTAATCACAGTACCTAGTAATTAACACAGGGGCGAAGTAATGCACGAACAAAAATATGACCGATAACGCTGCTGGGGAAAACTGAATGAGTAAAACTAAGTTCTACATAGTTTCTTGATTAACGCGCGCAAATTATGAGTCTACATAATTAGTAAGTGACGCAAACCAATTATGACACATTAGCAGTCAATTTGCAAAAAGAAATTTACCAACTAACATGCCTAAATTTATAGAACGGACGCATTTTAACTAGTATACAAAAAATTCATTAAAAAACCCGACCCTGTCCAGGTTCGAACCCTCTTATTTTGTTGCGGGTCTCTTTACCTACCTCTACACTACAGATCCATGATACCTTGAAGCTAAAGTGCTGTTTGTAATATAACAGTCTGTGTTAATATCCTTAGCATTGGCATACTTAATAGCTGGCTATTGATCTTATGCGCGTACTGCAATAAAAGAACACTTGCAAAATAAACACTAATATTTGCGTCCTAGGTTGGAAAAAAAAGAGAGTCCATACCAGCGCACAAGCTTTGCTTGTGTAAACAAACCAATGAGATAGCTACAACTGACCAGCTGGAGAGAAATTTATCAGCTGCAATTTGCAATCCTACGGCGCCCAGACCCAGCAAAATTACGAGAAGTGTGGCCGGCACTGGACCAGCTAGCTTGAAGAAGTAGACATAGAGGGCACAGCTAATGCTTCCCACCTGCTCGTCCTCCACGCCTGAGATGAACAAAACAATAAGTAAATATATTATTTTCTAACTGATCTGCTTCTTTATTAGAAACGAAATGTGGTTTCTGCGAATCGCAGAGGAGCTGTCAGTAGGCCTTAACAGTCCTGTCGAGGATAATCCATTTGTATTATCCCCCCACATTCCAGACTGTTATTTTATTGAGCGAAGCTCTTTTAGTTGCGATTGAAGGCCGTTTTTTTGGCGTCTAGAACTTCCACGTGGTACCACTATTGCAGCCAAAAATGGTCAGACTGTGGTAGACCTGAAGCTAGAGGTCAAGTGAGAGCTCGTCCTCACACACTATCAGTGCCATAGCAAGGGATCGAATACACAATCTGACGATTTCAAGTGAACGCCTTCCCACTATGCTAAGAAACATGCAATTAATCGAACCTTATTTTTGATAGGACCGCGACTGTACTACCTAATTAAGAACAAATTCCACCCATTCAGCATGACGAATTTCAATGTTTAAACATGCAGTTTTTGATCCTTTAGTAGACAAGGAAGACCATTAACTATTAAAAATTGATTGCATTTCCTGTCAATCCAATTACAAGCGGCCATACCTGTGATCTTCAGAGGAGCTCCCTCCTGATCCTGTAGCACTTTAGGTACGATCTTCCCTTTCTCGCTTTGATGAGACATCTTATCCATTTCGCTGCCCATCTGAAACATAGCGATCAGAAAGTTGTAGAAGTATAACTGCGACCGATTTTTGACATTTCAAATCTAAGCAAAATTAAACCAACTCAAACTGAATAGTATTCAGGAACTCTCATGATGGGAAGTATGTCAATCATTAATTGACTAAACAACATTTGACAGATTGAAACACTTTAATCAATAACAAAAAACGACCATCGACAGAGTTCCTGAGATTCTATCATCTTTAATCTATTTTCGTAAGAAGAATTGACAATCCTGCCAAGTAATTATTTTTTCATTCGGCCAGGAGTTCATTTAACTGATAAATTATGAAGAATTTTTGGCATCAATTTCACATTGAGCTTCATTCTCCAGCAAATTTGATGCAGAGGCACAGCTGAACTTCGCAAAACCACAGAAAAAGTAGCTCACTCCATCCATTGATAATTGAGAATTATTTTGCAAGAACAGGCATTATTTTAGCTCAATGCTACCGTATTCATCAACCCAAGATGGAGCTTAGAAGAAAAATTCGAAACGTAGGGGAAGTCTTCTTACGTCATTTAGTACAACAGTATCTGCAACAAAAACGGGCATGGATGAGAAGGAGAGTACACTTGACTTGTGAGCATAAGTGGTGAAACTGTGAGCAACATCGTTCTTCCTGCTTCGCTTCCTCAGCAGCGCCGCCGCAGCCACTTTCCCCTCCGGATCTCCGTCACTCATACGCTTCATGGCTATCCAGTCTCCCCCTCGTCCTGACCGCAAAATGCCACGCTCATTGTCCAAGCTTCGGGTCTAAATTCAACAAAATGAGTTCTCTCGTCCTATCATCGCATATTAAAACAAGTGAAGCGCAGCTCCGCAACTTTTACAGTACAAAGCCTTGCAATAAAAAACGCCACACAAGAAGAACGATTAACTCCTTAATGAATATATTTAAAGAAATTTATTGACAAATTCTGCCCAGGCGCCGGAATCATTCAAGAAAACTGAGATGAAACTTTACCTTTCCAAAACAAAATTCTTCCAGGAGCAAGGTGATTGAAACGTTTGAACTTTCGAAGAAAAAAATCTATCACGATGAAGCTCATTCAATTTCAAATACTAAGTACGACTGGCACTTTTTTCGTAAAGTTATCTCGTTTAGAGAAAAATCAATCAATAGGTAATGTTTTTGATTCCGCTGGGAGTTCAAAAAAAAATGCCTATTTTTGAAACTAGAAGACATTCGCGTTTTTCTTGACCTGTACACTTTTGCTCTTCGATAGTGGAGATTGTCTTTTACCTAAGGAAATTAACTGAACATAAAAGAAATCAAATTTCAAACTGCGAAAAAGTAAATTTGAGGATGAACAAAATTCAAAACTTCCTGAAAAAAAACGAACAACCATCAAGATATATATAAGTGAAAATCACTTCCTTCTTTTACTCTTAGAAAAAAACTTTGACCAAAATAAAGCAGGAAAAGAAATGTTTGACATCGGAGAGCAGCTTTTTTAAGAGCAAGAACTTTTACGTTTGCAAAAAAATACAGGTACTGGTTGGGTTGAAACCACAGATCTTGTCAGGTTTTGAACCATTGACACCGTGGCTGCCAGAAAATTGCTGGGGGAAAGAAATAGTATTCTTACTGATTATAAGGTTTTTGTTCCCACAAATTTACTACAAAGGCGAAGATGAGCTTCGCACCACATTCGATAAAAAAATGGATGAATATGATAAAGGAAAATGATAAGACAAATCAAAAATTGAAAAACCTTCAAAAAATTGTTTTAACAAAAAACTGCATAAGAGCCAAAAGAAGCCGAATCTTCAAACATTCATTTCTGCAGTAAATAATCCAGTAAAAGTAAGCAGACAGACTTGTCTAAAAAAGCCAAAAAAACAGGCCCGACTGAAATTGACCTAACAGACTTTGTCGTCTCAAGCATTGTTGTTACATGTGAGTCCTGTGAACAACTATTTTTACGGGATAAACAGTACCCGGTTCCAACACCCTTGCAAGGGTAATTATCAATAAACAAAAAATCTGAAAAACATCACAAAAAGAAAAGGTTAAAATCAGCACAGCAACCTAGCCTCTCTTCCTTTGGCTGATTATACTGAACTCGCTTGTAGCAAGAAACGTCAAAAGTTCTGCTGTAAAGTTGTGCTTTTTGAAAATGCTTTATACTGTTACCTCACTAGCCACGAATGAGTGGGATCGCGAGGAGCTGCCTTGGAAGTAGACTGCGTTACTATTCTGGTCCAACTCCACAGCAGGTGTAGCATCGATATCTGACATCACTGGGGTCTTCACTATGTCGCCTATATCAAAGCCCTGGTTGATAAGATCCGAAGCCGATCCACACGCCAACATTCTCCCCTAAAATATTCAAAAATCATTCCCTGCATGATATGAAATTATTAATCAACTAAGTGTTATCATGTTAGTTATCACGCTCGGGTCTAAAAGCGGCAGGCATGAAGTACAGCACGTTCAGGGCAGGGAATTTTGCTTAGATTTTGTAAAAACCAAGTACATCGAAGCAACTTTCGAAACATGCTCATCAGTTTGGAATGAAAATGTGCGTACGAAAAAATTCGATGACAAAAGCCGAGACAGAGGCGAAGCGTAGTTTCGCAAAATTTGCGGTGGAGAAAGAATGATTATAAATGAAAATACCATATAATTTCCTTCATTTTCCAATTTCATAGAAAACTGAAACTAAAATATTGTAAGCTCGCTCGAATTGACATAATATCTCCGCAAAAGCTCTGACAAAAACAAACACAAAGGCGAAGCGGAGCTTCGTAATACTTACGAAACAACTGAAGCCTAGCATTGTCAGCAAGCGATTTAAAAATGAGACGGAAATCACAACATCAAAAACATAGCCAACAAACAGTGGGAAAAAAGTCAATGAACACAAAGAAACAGGAAAAAACTTTCGAATTTCTCAGGAAAAATAAATAGATGGCAATAAAGCCCTTTCAATTTCTAGAACAATTTATGATTGAAATTTTTGATAAAATAAACCCAATTTGAGAAAACTGGATCAATAGGTAAATCATTTATTTCGCAGGGAAATCTGAATATTGAATTCTACTTTCGAAACTAGAAGTCGATTAAGTCTTTTATGACTTTTACACTTTCGCTGATCAATAGTGGAGTTTGTCTTCCTTTTAGCAAACCGCAGAAAAGTAAAATTAAGCCTGAATAAATTTTCAGACTTTATCTGAGAAAAAAAACGAATAAAAAATTCATAGTGAAATTTAAAGGAGTCTGAGCTACGTTCGTCGACTCTTAAAAAAAACAAGAAGTCGAAAAACGCTTGAAAAATTGTTGAAAAAACTAAGTCTACCAAAATTTACGCATGCCTTGATAAAATTTCATTCTGGGCAAAGGTGCCTAACAAATCAATTGGATATTAAATTGCAACGAAGCAAAACTTGCGAAGCGTAAAAAGCCGACAATCTTTGAGCAAACATCAGTTGAGCCGAAAGAAATTAAGTTTGTAGAAAAATTTTTATATCCCCTTGAAACTACTGAACAACATTTGCAGCCATAAAAGCTAACTGTTTAAAGCACAAGCAAAATCCGTGATGTGTCAAGTAAGCCGAAAAAACTATAGGAGACATACGAAAGTCCAACAATTCAGTTTTTACCGAAAAAAAAAATCAATTTCGAACATTCTGAAAACAAAACCATGACCAGCCGGGACTCGAACCCCAGCCTTTAGGGTGCAAAGGTGATCAATTTACCTCTAGGCCAAGTTAGAAGCAGCCTGGAAGTTGTTTAATATCACTAATGAATTAAGTAAGAAATGTCTAGTTCACGATTACAAGAAATGAAAAAAGAAGTCGATTAGCTGGACACATCTTATTTTCGAAAACTTTTACTATTTTTACTTGAATACAAGCTTCACCGAGATCTAGAAAACCGAAAAAAAAATAAATTCCAAGATTAACTTTGACTTCGACAATCACCGGCGTTTATAGAAAACGTTAAATTTCGTTTGAGACCAGAATACTGAACTCAAGGCTAGCATATAAATTGAAATCAACTTTAAACTTTTTCAAATTCCCAAAATTTCACAGCCATAAAAACTTGAAATGAATTGTTATTGTCCTATTCTGCTTCAAAATGGATTAAGTACGGAAATTCCATTAAACAATAAGTTGACAAAAAATTAAAACTCAAACACAAACTTGAAATATTGCAACTTTTTTCTTTGCATCTAAACTGATTTTATTTTCAATCGTCCCCGATTTCAAATATTTGTTTTTTTCTTAAACTGTTTTTTCCGTATTAGCTAAGCGCTGTTCAACTATGATGATAACACCATGAGAATAGAGTCATAATTATAAACAGGAGAAAATTACTTTAAAGAAGGAAGCCTACACATTTAAAAAAAGACACCACAAAATCAGGATAAACAATAATCCAGGAAACACTTTAAAGTTGTAACTTTCAAAAGAAGCCCTGAAGTGCTCATTGAAAACGCATAAAATTATTTTATTGAAATTTACCAATTGGGAACTAAACCGACAAAGCTTTGGTCGAAAATCAGGACGCCAAAACCTATCAGCAAAAAAAAAATCGATTTAAAAATTCGATCAAACAAATATCAGGCTAAAAACCTATAATTAACAATCAAGAGAGAATCAATTATAAGGAACTCATTTGAAAACAAAAAATAAAATCAACTATGCCAAAAGGGGTTGTGATGAAAACCAATAAACCGACAAAATTGTAAGACCTAAAGACGAAGTTTACGGACGAGAATAAAACCTAAAAACTTAAGGAACTCAAGCAAGCGCTTTAAGGCTACACTAAAAGGGCAGCTGTGTGATAGTAATTTAGGTTGTTTATTATGGAGAGGACAATATCCTGCGTATCAAATTTCAAATTTCTCAATAAAAAACTAAAGGTTTTTAAGCACATTGAATCTCAGTAACAATTTATGATTGACAGTTTTTCAATTAAACTAATCCAATCTGAAAAAAAGTGAATCAGAGGATAAAATTTTTATTCTGCTGTGAAATCTAAAAATTAAAACCCACATGCGAAACTAGAAATCATTCACCTTTTTTTTCGTACCATTTCTGCTTTCATAATCTGAAAGCATAATTTGTCTTCCTCTTGTCAAACTCAGTCCAACCGCAAAATTTTATGATAAAAACAAAAAAAACTTGAAACGACCTATACTAGTGTCTTGATTATGTTCAATCAAGATTATATGTTGATTATGTTCAAACACTTAACTAAGTTGGAAAACACTGAAATTTATGAAATTTCAATGACAACAAAACTGAACATGAACTCTTAAAAGCTTCATTTTCTCACAGCTCAGCCTTAAAATAAAGATTACGCTTTTAGCTAAGTTTGAAAATCAATTTTAACGCAGGTTTTGAGATTTCAACATAGGCAAAAAACACAAGTTTAAGATAAAATTAAAATTAACCAAAAAAACTAACATATCCAAAAGACAGTGCAAAAAGTAAATGTACTCAATGAGGTCAGAAAAACTATTCATATTCTTGAAAAAATTTCAACAAACAAATTTTAAAAAATATATCGTCTTAAAGGTCCTTGAATTTCAAGAATCTTTTGATAGAACTGATCCTATTTAAAGAAAACATTTATTCTCTTTCAAATATGTGTCATTTTTTTGCATGTGTAGGTGAAAAAATAATGGACAAAAACTATGCTTAGAAGATTTTTGTCATTGCATAACTTAGAGCTTTAATATCATTGACTACGTTAGGCTTTGATCTCATAATTAAAACAAATTTTTTTTGGATAAATTTAAAGCTAATTGTAACCAAATTAAGCCAATACTGAAGTTTCTCAGCATTTTTTCGGTCATTCTTTTTTACCTACGCGTGCAAAAAAAGTGGTACAAGTTTGAAGACGGAGGCAAAGCTGCACAAAAACCAATACAGTAATGAGTTTTGGTAAACTATTGACCTCTAGAAGAATTAATTTTGTCCTCGGAAATCGAAGTTTTCCATTAGACTACCCTCCAAAATTATGCCACTGGCGCTCATAGAACCCAAGACAAGAAAAAAGCGGCAAAATGGAGCATCAGAAAGCACAAAAACACAAATTTTGCATGAAACTTATTGCAAATCGAATGTCAAAGCACAAGCTGATAAACTGCCAGAGTAGCCGGCTGCAGAAGTACCACCTAACGAAAGTAGTTCTAATATTTGCGAATAGCTTAGAAAATGTTTCCTTGTAGTATCACACTATGCTGCGCTAGGTTTTTATGAAGGCAACGAAATAAAAAAAATCTAGCTCGTTTGAAAAAACTGTAACTTTCCAATTTATGATAGACACTTTTTTGTTAAAATTAGCCCAATTTGAGACAACTGCATCAATGGGTAATTTTTTTATTCCGCTGGGAAACTAATCATAAAATTCCACTTTCGATCACGTTTTTGGTGATTTATGCACATTTTATGTTCGATACTGGCGTTTGCATTGTTTTCAACGAAATGTTAAGACTTTTTCCTGAAAAAGAAAGCCAAGACCTATATAGAGCTACGATCATGACTTTAAAACTGAAAAGAAGCATGAAAGGGTCAAAAAAAGAATGAGTAAGGTAAAAATTCCAATATGTGCATGAATCAAATGCACGATCTCGAGATTAGGAGTACCATGCCCTAGCACTTGCGCCATAGGCGCTTGATAATCATCATACACTAGGTACCAATAAACCAGATAGATAAAAAGATACACACAGAGGCTAAGCTGCGCTTCGTAAACACAAGCAGGAAAACGACTAAAAAGCAGCCAAAAAATTATCGACAGAAATAAGTTTCGAATCAGTATGACTTTCGCTTTTTGCTGGATTCGAACCTACGACCTCGAGTTCCACGCCCTTCCCTCTCAGCAACCAAAACAGTAGATTACAGATGCTATAAAAGTTCCGATGCTACAGCAGAGTGATTATAGCAAAAGTGCCACCAAATGACCACTTATAGTTGCGAGCTAGGTTGGGGAAAAATAGTCATACTAAAACACTACGCTCACAACCTCGTTGTTGAAAATACTTATGCAACAAAAAACTAAACCAGATATAATGCTGATGCCGCAAAAGTAAAACCAGATATGAATCTATTGCTACAACAGCGCCACGGAATAAAAAAAGAGTCTTTTTATTTGCGACTCGAGTTAAAAAAAGTGACTTTCGTAATATGACACTACGCTCCGTATGAAAAAAAGTAATGGTCACCATCAGGCAAAAAAAAACAACTAATTTTTGAAGTATGTGTAACATTAACTTATATTACCTTTGAAAAACTTGAAAATTTTTAGGGAACGATGGTGGTTTAAGCGAACTCGACTCGCTCTGACAATCTAGACTATTTAGAGAAATAATTCAATTATTTAAACTGATTACCAAGTTAACTTCATCTTATAATTTTCGGGGTTTATTGATTATTCGAACAAAAAAAAACACCCGACTTTAAAGTTTCTTTGATTCTCATATGTCGTCGGAATAACAACTAGGATACTGACGCCATGTAGTAAATGATTGAATGAAAACAGCCAAGCATGCTAACAATTGAAATTAAAAAATTTTTGAAATTTGCATAGCACGTACCATTTCACATTCTAAAAAAGGCTCAAGTCAAAGTGACTGTTATCTGTTTCAACATAGCTATTTTAATCATCCACTGCTTTTCATGTAAGAATTATCAGTTTTCATCGCAATTACAACTGACATTAACATTCAGCTCAAATGGGTTGTTCACTCGATATACAATCCAATTTCGTACAAAGTACCATTGGGGTACTTCAAACATACGAAAGCAAGGCTTCCCTCAACTTCAGTGATCGGAACTATAATTGTGAACTCACGCTTTTGATTAGCAACACTTTGGTGGCCTTCGGAAGATACTGTAGTTGATGAGTGGCCAGAAAGACTATTTTGTCCTTCATCAGACCTCTGATACACCTAAAAAATTAAGCGGGATAAAAGTTAAAAACTACCATTTAATGTTTTTGAGTGTTTTAATCAATTCAGCCCAAACTTGCAAATCTCGACTTATGAAAAGAAATGAAAATTCTCGCATTTGATTTGTTGCAAACAATTAAAAATTTCCCAAATTTTTGTTAAAATGTTGCGTTAACTTATTCATCTGGTGACGCTGCTATTATTGTGAGCTACCAAAGTAAAAACAGTCGTATTTTCAAATGCCAAGTTATAACCTACCTTTTTCAGCCATGTTTCAATAGCTATCCATATTTAAGAAATTAGAAGCCAAAAAATTATCAAATAATTCAATTGATTCGCTACAATAGTCGCCCAAAATCCTTTAGATATCTCGCAAAAATTTAAGTTCGGCTACAATAATTATGTGCATTGACTATCATAATCTGAAATGTAAATTACTGTTCTTTTAAAAGCCAAGTTGATGAATTCTATTTAACCTTCACCTTATTGCGGTCTGAACCCTAAGACGAGGCTATAATAAGGTTAACAAGGCTCAACAACACGCCCCAGGTGACATGTTACAATAGGTGGTAATTTTGAGTATAGTGCATGTTTTAAATTTGAGAATTATAATGCATAATATAGTCATTTCATTTTCAATCAATTGTACGAGCTTTAAGATAATTTTTGTTAATACAATAGCCAAATAAAAGCTATTAAAAATTTCAAAGTTTACATTTCTTTTGCCAAAAAACTTGGCTTTTGAAAAAAATTATAAATAATGTGCGAAGTATAACAAAAAGCGATCCAGCTATTGAAATTGAACCTAACACCCATTGTAATATATCACCACACCCCAAATTATATGACCAACAAAACAACTAATTGAGCCCTACTTACTGTTCAAAGAGAGCCTTAGATACATGGTTGTCCACTGCGCTTAGAGGGTCATCCAACAACACAATGTCTGCGTCTCTATAGGCTGCTCTGGCTAGACATATCCTCGCCTTCTGTCCCCCACTCAACATCACACCTCGTTCACCTACTACTGTCTGGTCACCATCAGGCATTATTTCAAAGTCCTGAACATAGGCAGAGTAATGGACGGTTAAAGTAAAATTACCAATTTCGGCATTTCGATAACGTTGCAGTTGAGACCCAAAAACTCATGCAAAATTGTAACTACTTGATTCGCCAATTTTCACAAAATTCACTGCCGTATAAACATCAACAACCCTGCATATTATTTAGACCTCTTTGATACATCTTTTATTTCTTGTACGTTCGAAGCAGAAGCGGAATCAGTGGGGGGGGGGGAGCGAACGCCCTCTCCCCTCAGGGATTCTACCCCCTTGCCGACCCAAAGGTGACCCTTTGTACTATTTTAAGATATCCTATTTTGCCTGACTGACCTTAAATTTTTCTAAAGGCGCCTTTGGAGTCAATCTATACTAATTTTGAGAGGGAGAGCGCGCGCCGAAAAAACGCAATTTTTTTGGTCGAAACTTTCCAAAAAAGTGCCTACAACCATTTTTTCAAAAATTTGCCAGCGGCGCAGAAAATTTGGTCAAATTAGGATCTTTATAGTGGTTTGAGAGAGTTCAGAAAATCAATTTGGTCGAACTATAAAAAAAAGGTCGACAATTTTTTTTTTTGAAAATCCGCCCACCCCCCTCGAGAAATTCTTAGATCCGCGCCTGGTTCGAAGTATATATATTCCATCCAACAAAAAGCCCAAAACTATCAACTAATTTGAGTTCAGTTTAAACTTAATGAGCTATATTTTAATCTTTACCCTGATGAGAGAGCATGCTGCAACTACAGTACTGTAGAACTTGGGTTTGAGAGGAAGACCGAAGAGGATGTTCTCCTGGACTGTGCCAGCCATGATCCAGGCCTCCTGGGCAGCATATGCCACACTGCCCACCCTCTTCCGTGTACCCCTTAGTAAAACCATCTCCTCAATCAGACACATCAACACCGACGACTGAAACAAGTTGTAACATGCTTTTTTGAAATCCATCTATGGGCGTTCAGAACACGCCTGTGCGTGTTGAAACAATTGACTTTCTACTCCCGAGTTTGTGTTGTAAAACACTTAAACCCACTCTTCCAAGTTGGACTTTGCTGTAAGAGCACACTTTCGACAATAATATTGGTAAGTCTTTCTTCCATGCTTTTAACTCAGTGCTGCTTAAAAAATGTTCTCGTTTTAAACTAGTGTTCTTAAACGCAACTAAACAAGTGATATTCTTTGCACGAGCTCAAAAAAACTTCTAGTACAGCAGCCGATGATATTTCTATGCGAATTATCTTTCTCCTCATGTTACTAGATGGCAATAGGCCTCTTATATGGAGAAATTCCTAAATTACGCCTATATTCAAGATGGGAGATGAAACTGATATCAAATGCTACCGTACCCGCCTGTCAATATTTGCCTAAAATGGCTTTAATCCTTGAAAGGATCATATTTACTCAATTCTACGAATTTGATCTTTTACTTCAAAATTTATTCAAATTTGGCATCAGCGGAAAACTGATGCAACTATGGTCATCTTACTTGAGTTATCGACATCAATGCGTCAGAATTAGAAATACGCGTTCTAATTTTCTTCCAAATATCTCAGGTGTACCTCAAAATTCAATCTTGGGACAACTTTTGTTCTTTATATGTATTAATGACATGCGTAATGTCTGTAAAAAATCTGCCATGTTTCTTTTCGCTGATGATAGCACAACAAAAAATTCTAATTTGCTACACTTCAGCGTAATTTAACAGATGCATCGAGTGCGGCTGGCCAAGGAAATTGTTTTTAATAGTGGCCAAACACAGTACGTTTTTTTCAACAAGCAGTTCTGCAAGGATGAAGATACATTCAGATTCCGAGGGCAGGAAATAAAGACTATTCCTTCAGTTAAAGTCATTGGCGTGACATTGACCATAGCTGAAATAATCATATTAAAAAATTGGGTATCGCGTATGGCATTTTTAAATCTTTAACGAACCATTCCTTCTGGAAAATCTTATTTTAAGGGTCAAAAATTGTATACAACCTACAATTTATCTATTCTTCTATTTTCATCAGAAGTATGGCATCCGTCAATCACTGACCTTATGCTATTGGAGACACTTTAAGCCCGAACAACGAAATTATTTTCAAATGGGGATTCGTTCAAAGATTGACTCCTTAATTTTTTTTATTACCAATTTCACTTCAACTGCAATTAAAAGACTTGTTAATCCTCAAATAAATTATCACACGAAAACTATAATCTCGATGTTTGGATGGTTTTATCTCTGCAATATACACCAAACTATTGACGCAGAGATGGAAAACCGATCGGCCATTCCAAAACGAAAGAAAATCGATTCCTTAATTTTAACCGGATTGTGAGAATAGCAAATCACTTGCAAAAAGTGAGTTCACTGAACACTCCGAGTACTTTCAAACCACAGCAAAAAGGTTTTTCAAGAAGCGACCGATCAACAATTATGACAAAAACTCCTCCGAGAGATGATTTTTCTGTTATTGCTGCTGCTAAATAGTATTTATACTTCAATTTTTTCCTTAAAGTTACTTGATTTTGTTTTGATATATGTGTAAAACAATTTAAAGTCTACTTCTACTACTACTACTTCTACTGACTACAAGGCTGAATTCAATTTCTAGATAAATGTAAGCAAAGTGTTTCTCAAATTGGGTCAACATTAGCCAAAAACAGATACAGACAAAACTTTCTATTACAGCAGCCCATGATAATTGTATGCGAATTGTCTGATTCTCTTTCTCCTCATATTACTAGATGGCAATAGAGCAAATTTTCCTCTTATATGGAAAAAATTCTGTATTACGCCTATATTCAAGACGGGAGATCAACTTGATATCGAATGCTACCGTACCTGTCTCTCCCTATTTTTCCTAAAACTAGCTTTAGTCCTTGAAAGGATCATATTTACTCAATTCTACGAATTTCCTATTTTACTTCAAAATTGATTCAATTTTAGCATCGCCCGAAAACTGATGAAACCATGTCATCTTACTTGAGTTATCGAAATCAATTCGTCAGAATTAAAAAAACGCGTTCTAAATTTTTTCAAAATAACTCAGGTACACCTCAAGATTCAATCTTGGGGCAACTTTTATTCATCATAATTATTAATGACATGCCTAAATTTTGAGCAAATTCGGTCATCTTTATTTTCGCTGAGGATAGCATAACAAAAAATTCTAATCTGGCTACATTTCAGTGTTATTTAAACAGATGCGTCAAAGGCGGGCTGGATAAGGAAATGGTTTTTAATAGTGGCCAAACACAGTACGTTATTTTCAACAAACAGTTCTGCAAGGATCAAGATACATTAAGATTCCAAGGACAGGAAATAAAAACTATTCCTTCAGTTAAAGTCTTTTGCGTGACATTGACAAATGACCTTAGCTGAAATAATCATATTATTAAAAATTTGAGTATCGCGTATGGCATTTTTAAATCTTAAACGAACCATTCCTTCTGGAACATCTTATTTTACGAGTCAAAAGTTGTATACAACCTATAATTTATCTATTCTTCTATTTTCATCAGAAGTATGGCATCCGTCAATCACGGACCTAATGATATTGTAGACATTTCAAGCCCGAGCAACGAAATTATTTTCAAATGAGGCTTCGTACAAAGATTGACTACTTAAATGTTTTTTTTTATTAACAACTTCACTTCAACTGCAAGTAAAAGACTTGTTAATCCACAAAAAATTATCACACGAAAGATATAATTTTGATGTTTGGATGGTTTTATCTCTGCAATATACACCAAACTATTGACGCAGAGATGGAAAACCGATCGGCCATTCCAAAAACGATAGAAAGTCGATTCCTTAATTTTAACCGGATTGTAAGAATAGCAAATCACTTGCACAAAGTTAGTTCAGTTGACACTCTTGCGACGACTCCGAGTGCTTTCAAACCACGGAAAAAATTGTTTTTCAAGAAATGGTTGATCAACAATTATGACAGAAAATCTTCCGACAGATAATTTTTCTGTTCTTGCTGCTGCTAAATAGTATTTGTACTTTTTTTCCTTAAAATAACTATATTTTTTATTGATAATTCTGTTAAGCAATTTAAACTGTTTTTCTACTACTACTACTTCTACTGACTACAAGGCTGAATTCGGTTTCTGGATAAATAAAAGAAGTGTTCGTCTCAAATTGGGTCCACTTTAGCCAAAAACCGATATAGACAAAACATGTTTAAAAACTTCCTCCTAGTACAGCAGCCCATGACAATTCTATGCCAATTATCTGATTCTCTTTCTCATATTACTAGATGGCAATAGAGCAAATTTTCCTCTTATATGGAAAAATTCCTATATTACGTCTATATTCAAGACCGAAGATAAATTTAATATCGAAAGCTACCGTACTTGTCTGTCACTATTTTGCCTAAGATGGCTTTAGTCCTTGAATGGATCATATTTACTCAATTCTACGAATTTGCTATTTTACTTCAAAATTGATTCAATTTTGGCATCGCTCGAAAACTGATGAAACTATTGTCATTTTACTTGAGTTATCGAGATCAATGCATCGGAATTATAAATTCGCGTTCCAATTTTCTTCTGAATATGTCAGATATACCTTAAGAATCAATCTTGGGGCAACTTTTAATCATCATATTTACTAATGACATGGCTAAATTTTGAGCAAAATTTGCCATCTTTCTTTTCGCTGACGATAGCATAACAAAAAATTCTAATCTGGCTACATTTCAGTGTAATTTAAACAGATGCGTCAACGGCGGGCTGGACAAGGAAATGGTTTTTAATAGTGGCCAAACACAGTACGTTAATTTCAACTAGCAGTTCTGCAAGGATGAAGATACATTAAGTTTCCGAGGGCAAGAAATAAAGTCAGTTAAAGTCATTGGCGTGACATTGACAAATGACCCTAGCTGAAACAATCATATTGTTAAAAATTTGGGTATCGCAAATAGCACTTTCAAATCTTGAACGAACCATTCTTTCTGGAACATCTTATTTTACGGGTCAAAAGTTGTATACAACCTATAATTTATCTATTCTTCTATTTTCATCAAAAGTATGGCATTCGTCAATCACTGACCTAATGATATTGGAGACATTTTCCCGAGCAACGAAATTATTTTCAAATGGGGATTCGTACAAAAATTGACTACTTAATTGATTTTTTATTACCAATTTCACTTCAACTGCAAGTAAAAGACTTGTTAATCTTCAATAAATTATCACACGAAAACTATAATTTCGGAATTTGGATGGTTTTATCTCTGCAATATACACCAACCAAACTATTGACGCTGAGATGGAAAACCGATCGCCCATTCCAAAACGAAAGAAAGTCAATTCCTTAATTTTAACAGGATTGTACGAATAGCAAATCACTTGCACAAAGTTATTTTATTTAACACTCTTGTGACGCCTCCGAGTGCTTTCAAACCACGTCAAAAATAGTTTTTCAAGAAGTGGCTGATCAACAATTATGACAGAAACTCCTCCGACAGATAATTTTTCTGTTCTTGCTGCTGCTAAATAGTAATTATACTTCAATTTTATCCTTAAAAATAACTTGATTTTTTATTGATAATTGTGTAAAGCAAATTAAACTCTTTTTCTACTACTACTTCTACTCACTACAGGGCTGAATTCGGTTTCTGGATAAATAAAAGAAGTGTTCGTCTCAAATTGGGTCCACTTTAGCCAAAAACCGATATAGACAAAACATGTTTAAAAACTTCCTCCTAGTACAGCAGCCCATGACAATTCTATGCCAATTATCTGATTCTCTTTCTCATATTACTAGATGGCAATAGAGCAAATTTTCCTCTTATATGGAAAAATTCCTATATTACGTCTATATTCAAGACGAAGATAAATTTAATATCGAAAGCTACCGTACCTGTCTGTCACTATTTTGCCTAAGATGGCTTTAGTCCTTGAATGGATCATATTTA